TCCATCAACCTACAAACATAGCTTAGCAACACAGCATACCATAGAGTGTTGGTTATTTTCTCTGGTGTTCATGGAGCTTTTGGGGGGGTGGGGTGATGGGGAATTAGGATGTGGTCTCTGTTGCTGTCACTGCCCAGCATTGAGAGAGGATCCGCCCACATGGTGCTCAAACCCAGGAAAAGATCTAAGTTAAAAATTCAAGGTATTATTTCTACTATATGTGTACTGCTTTTACACCATCAGAAAGTTTTAAAATCCTAAATTTAACCATGGTTGGTTGGGGGACAGTCTGCTTGTATAATTATATGGAAAAAATATGAAGTATATACATTGAGATGTGGATACTGAGATTACTGGATAGGAGAGTGAAATGAGACTGAATTCTCCCCTTCCCCTTTTATTTTCTAGTACTAGGGATTGAACCCAAGGTGTTTTACATCTCCAACTCTTTTTAAAAAAATTTTTAATTTTAAGACATAGTCTCACCCAGTTGCCCAGGCTGGTCTCCAATTTGTGATCCTCCTGCCTCAGTCTTCTGACTTGCTGGAATTACAGGTGCACACCACCACCTGGCTCTGAATTTCCCTTTTGATTTTGTATGTTTCTGTATTATTTAAAATGAAATTATATATTGTCTATAATTATACAAGTTACATTGTTGCCTTTTTGTTTTAAACTGAGCAAAGTTGATAAAGCTGTTAAAATGATAAATGGAAATTACCTAATATATCCATAACAGTGATTCCATGGTGCTACCATAAAGTGTGTATTTCCTGCCATGAGGAGGACTCTTCTGGCAGTCACTACAGCTTGACAATCAGAGAATGCTCTTCATTCTTTCTTAGGGAAGCTTAAGGCAGTCTTTACCTAGTAGGGCAGTACACAGCAGTAGCTTAATATTGCATAAGTAAATAAATATCTAATTGGGGAATGTGAAGCTGTGTAAATAGAGAATAAAGTCAAGATTGAATTTGGCTCTATTCTCAGCCATTTTCAGGGTGCTGGAGTAGAAAGTAGACTTATTTCTGGTCTACCAAGAGAGGGCAGAACAAATGCTACAGAACAGGTGCAGTAAGGAGGCAGATTTGGGCATAACATGGGAAAGAGTCTTGCAAAATTGTAAGTCCTCACAGTGGCCTGCACACCACATCTGACCCAATTGCCTTCTTGTTTGGTCTCATTTCCTCCCATCAAGCCACACTGTGATGTCCTGACCTTCCTCTTTCACTAGGACACTTTCCTAAGATATTTATGTTGTTGTTTGTTACCCAGTTCCTGTAGGTGTCAACAGAGAGACCTTCCCCGATCAGCCTACCTTAAGTAGCATTTTTTGGGTGCCCAGGCACTTCCTGTTTCCCTTACATGGTCTTATTTTTCTCCATCACTTTCCAATAGCAGATAGTATCTGCAGGGATTTTTTTACAGTCTGCCTCCTTCATCAAGAAAGCTGAGCTTTTGTTTTGTTCAAAGTTATAGACCCAGTACCTAATATTTCCTGGCACTTAGTTGGTGTGCAATATGTATCACCTAAGGAAATGAATCATTAACAATATGTGGGATGGAATAGAATGTCTCATGAAGTTGAAATTGTCTCCTGAATCTTATCAACATTAGGAAAGATGGGCTGGGGAAGGACTCCTATTGGACCAACAGGTCCAATCCATCTCCTTTATATAGTAGGACGGGCTGCTGTTGGCTTTTGGACTTGATATGTTGTCTTGTTGAGCTGCATCTTCTCGATGCATTCCGTAGAAGTAAGCCTAATAGCCTAACACTTTAGTGCTGCTGTGGGGATGAACAAGGAGAATAGATGTAAAAGTATTTGGTGATACATATGAAAGGTAGAGACCTTGGCCAGCAAATCAATACCTTTCTTTGTTACAATGTTGAGTTTCTTGAATTATGGACTAACATAGCTGTCATCACCTTATCTTTTTTTCTGTTGCTGTATCTGCACTCAGCCATTCTACCCAATGCTGATGTGGCTGGTCTCTCTTACCCCTGCCTCATACTTTTTTTTTTTCAGACTTTGTGTAAATGTGTATTTTTTTTCAAGCTTCCAGGTGATCAAACTTTGTTAGAGTCCTTCCTACCTAAAAAATCATCCATCATTTCTCCAGCTTGGGATTTATCAAGTGGAAAAGAGATGACAATATATCTTTCTTAGTGCCATCCTAGGTGAAGAGATTTTACATAAGTTTTCTCATTTGACTGCCACTAAATTTGGGAAGTATTCAGGAAGCCCATTGTAGGATAAGGAAATTGAGGTTAGAGTGAGTGAGCTCCCATCTACACTTCTAGCTCTCAGAATTTGCTGGCTGCTTTCTGGTGGATGACTTGGTTAGGGACAGTGACTAGGGCAGCTCAGGCCAAGGACTTCTACAGAACACACCATTGGTCCTCTGAGTAGACCTGATCCACTCACACCAGCTGTGGCCTGTCTTTTGAAAGTGCACATCTATGAAGAATTGTTTGACAATTGTTCTCTAGTTTGTTAATGAATCTCATGCAGGTAAAATTGTCACTTGGCTGTACTCACTGCTTATAAACCACCAGAGCTCATACACATGGAGGGCTCAGCTGGCAGGACACCCTTCTAAACAGGATTTTTTTTCCCCATACAAATTGCTAATCATTGATTTGAGATACAAATACAGATTTGGAATTATTGCTTTCAGAGTTCAAACTTTAATTTTCAGGCATATGTCCAGACCTTTTTATCGGTTCTTTAAAATGGGCAGTAGTGGTCTGTAATTACTTGGGCTCTGTCTTTTAATACCTTGAGAGTAATAATCTTCATAGTTTGTAGGAGTGAAACTAGCTATTTAAAAAGTTGTGAGTTATTATAACAGCCTATGTGCAGGGCACTTTGAAAAGTAGGTAGGGATTATGTACCTCTTTTCTAATACTTAGGTGGGAAGTGGGCTTCTTTTTATCCTTTTAAATTCATTTTTAAAATGTATGGCACTCTATAAAATACTCAATTATTGATGTGTGAAATGCTTTGAAGCCTTGGACAGAAAGCTTGTACCTCGAAGGACATAGGCATTGGTGGCCATCTGGAGACAGCTGCACACATACAGTCAGTCATGCTCAGACAGGCTGGTCTGGCAGGTGTATTTCCCTTGGTATGACCACCAAGAAACACAAAGCAGTTTCATAAGCCAGCTTTGGTTACATACTACTAGAGAGAAATAAATTTCCATGGAAAAGGTACCTTAGAAGAACTTTCTTTTTCATGCCTCAGCCAGTTTTCTTCAGGAAGGACAGTTTAATTTTTTTAATATGAATTCTATATATGAAGAATATTTTAAATTTTTTAAGTCCTGTGATTCATCTAGGAGCCAAACTGACCACATAACTAACCCAAGTTTAGTATTCTCTCAGCTTTTTCTAATCTTCACATTGTATCCTTCTTAGGATGGTGTTAGTCAAAATCTGTGAGAAATGGCATGAGTTTGGACAGAAATAATCTTTTTCTTCCTTTCTTACCAATATTTTTTTTTAGTCACAGAGGTTTTGCTTTAACTGAAGCAGAAGAATCCCAGAACAGTGGGTAGATATAACCTGTTAATATACTCATGAGATGTTATCAAATATAAAATATGAATATACTTATGCAAAATATTAAGTTAAAATTTGATATTTTACAAAAACTTAGATTTTAAAGAATCAGTGTGTGTATTAGTTATATTTTAACATTTTAAGTGATATTTGAGACTTTACAAAAGTATTTCAGTAACAAGCAAGTAATGAAAGCTATTTATTATTACAAAATGGTCTTACATTACTATTTTTTGCCAACAGGAAAATGTTTACCCTCATTGAAGTTATGTCGATTATTGTTTTTTGGAAATGTCAAGCATAATGGTAATATCAGGATTCAATTTGTCCTATTAAACTATTACATATTGATCTAAACCCTAGTTTCTATTTCTACAAAGGCCTATTATAATTCTATTTTCACTTAAAAAAATGGATGCTGAAGAGAACAGCAAACAAATATTCAAAGTAGAAAAAAACTCATTTTTAATCAACAGACTTTAGAGTCTAGTCTTTCCATTGGTTCTTTAAAAATAGTAAACCCCCCTGTCTCCCAACCCCCTTTTGTTCTGCACCATTAAATTGTACTGTGGCAAAACAATTCCGGCGCAACCTCTTTAAATCAGTGTTCTTTTGAGGTTGGGTACTATGTACCACAGTAATGAAGAAGGCAAATGTTGGAGGAGAAGAGAGGATGTTGAGTCAGCCTTGTTGCAAGTAGCAACTGGTGGTATCTCTAGTCTGTACTTCTTATGCAAAACTAAAATTTTTGAAAAGAGGCCATCTGCTATCATAGGCCATCACTAAGAACTTCTAGTTTGTCTTGAGAGAGGCTGCAACGTTGTTGTGCACAATATAATCACTATTAATATAGCAGGCTGCCTCTTGGCAGCACTGCAAAGTACTCATAACCAAAAGGCCATCTTTTAAATTAAATTGTAGGATCTAATACAAACCATTTACATATCACAATCTGAGACTTTGAAATAGGAGGAACATATAATGGTTTCCAATACATCAAAAGAACCTATCTTATTTTAAAGTCTTCATTAAAAAAAAAAAAAAGGACAACAGAGCTTGAAGCATTAGATAACTGTGTCCATTGTTACAGATTAAAACTTCCAAAGCAAATAAAAGAACCACAATTTTCTATGTTCACCTTTAACTGGGGGAAACTTGGCAAAAGTATTCAAAGGGAAGCTCTTGAACTTTCTCAGCATTTCTTTTATAACCTGGCTCTTTCTCTCTCCCTTCCCCAAAGAAGAAACAAATACCAGAATCCTTTGTTTAAAATATGAAAATATCTTACAGGAATAAGCCCTACCAACACAGGATCTTACTGGAACTAACTTTAGTAAAAATTAATACAGGCATAGAGTTAGGGCTTTATTTTGGAGCTTTGGGAGGGTAGAGCCCCATGGAGGCATCTGGAGTTTCATGTGAGGCCTCCTGGGGAGGGGGTAGAATGGTTGCATTTAAGATGGGAATCTTTGTCTTGGGAAATGCTGGTGACTGAACCTTGACAGCTAAGCACAGGTTGCTTCATCCTTTCATGCAATCTTTTTCTAACAGCTGGGCAAATGTGTTAAACTGGTTTTCTGGACTTCCCTGAGCAGTATCTAATGAGCAAATAACACAATTCTGTGACATTTAGCAGGATACATATTCCAGATACTGCAATCATGAACACCGTAAAGACAGTCTTTTCTGTGGGCCTGGAAATAAAGCAGTCCACCGTATTGGGACAAGGCCAGGCGTTACACTTCACCAGACGCTGCATGAAGAAGCCATTGTACATGACGTAAAAGACATACATGAAGACAGCTTCAAAGATGACCCGGAAGAAGATGCTGCTGGTGTAGGTCCACCACAGGGACCCTTCAATACGAACCTTCTGGGTTTTGATCTCTTCAATGTCCTTATATTCATTCTTCATCTCTCCCTTCATGAACTTTCTTTTCTTCTCATGTCTCCGGTAGGCCACATGCATGGCCACCAGGAGTGCTGGTGTGGACACAAAGATCAGCTGCAGTGCCCAAAGCCGGATGTGAGAGATGGGGAAGTGGTGGTCATAGCAAACATTTTTGCAGCCAGGCTGGAGAGTATTACAGATAAAATCAGCTTGCTCATCTCCCCATACCTCCTTGGCAGCCACCACAAGGATCATGATGCGAAAAATGAAGAGGACAGTGAGCCAGATTTTACCAATACTGGTGGAGTGTTTGTTGACACCCCCCAGGATAGTCTGTAGTGTGCCCCAATCCATCCTGTTCTCTGGGAGGTTGGTGCTAGAAAAGAAAAATGAACATGACATAGAGATCACTAGTCTGGACAGAATCTGGATAATTTCTCTGGGTCTAGGAAAGTAAGCACTTTTAAATCTCTTCCTGAGCACTGACTCTATCCTCCTCCAAAATGGTGAGGGCAAAACCAATTTGGTTTGCCACAGGATTAAATATACAGCTCCTAAACAATCTTGAACAAGTTTCTATATGTTCTCTAATAATGAGTAGCTTGTTCACTTGAGTAATTCACCCAATCTTTAGCATATAATAAATATTTGGGGTATGGGGTACACCAATGCAAAGTACTTGTTAGCTTAAAGGTACAAATGAGTTCTGACCAAATCTATTGATTCTTCCACAGATTCTCCTGGGATATTCCCAACTCCACCACAGCCACTCAGGGTTCAATAGTTAGATCCACTGGTAGCAACAAGTTTTGGACTGTACCAGTGGAACTGCCCTAGTTTTGACCAACTTTACCTTAAATGCTGAGAGGCCAAGTTCAGGTGATATAATTTATGGAAGTCCACCTAATCCAGTGTTGTGTCAATTTTCGCTGCAGAATCCCTTTACTAAAAATATTTCAGTTCATTTTCATAGGCTTGGGATGTAGCAGTGAAATGGTTATTACAAATGGTTATATTTACATTTGACACCCCCTGCAAGTTAACATTTCACCAAGGGCCTTGATTCCTTCTTCTATATGGAGAAAAGTAGGAATAAATGGTCTCTTCAAGTAGAAAAGTTGCTCTGTGCATGGATTTTTGTGTACAGGTTGGTGGCCTCACTGTCACATTGGGACTGACTGGTTAGTACTCAGAGTATCGGTTTAGATAAGTGTTGCAACAGCATTGTTGTTATGGGTTATGGTTAGAAGTATTTCTAAGAGACACATTATGAAAAATGACCAAAAATCCAACCAGTGGTTCCCCATTGCTGGTCCAATGAAGCCTATCATTGTTGTAGTTTAGAACCAAAATCTGCTGGGGTAACATACTCCTTACTGAAAGCAGGTGTGAAGGGGCCCATGGATAATCTTCCATGAGCCAGAGGCCTTCTATTTCATCCCAGGATATGAACTGTCTTCATTGATTCATAGCTACACCCTGTCTGACACAATCAACTTCTCTTCTAAACAAGATTCCATCCTCTCCACAGTCCTCATGAGTCACCTCTTTTCCACCCTTTCTAAGCTGTAATGAATCCTCCTTCTCTTACTTAAAAGCATCCTGAGCTCCTGATTTTAGGCAAGTTGCATCCTGTTTCCTGCTGGACTCTCAAGGCAGGCTCAGACTGAATGTCTCTCATTACCTACAGTTGCTGCTGTGGGACACCAAGATCTGACTGAACCTATTCAATGCCACCTTGATCAGAGGAGGCAGAAGAGCCCTGGGCAAGAAAGTTAAGTCAGACTGAAATATACGGAAATGGTAAAACATTTAGCCTCATTCAGTTTGAAAGAAGAAATGTCACTAGAAAAAAAATATAGTGATTTAGTTCAGGTTCAGCCCTGACCCATTTAAATTCAGACTGTCAGAGAGGCCCTTACGTGAGTCAGTTGTCCTTTGAAAAGTCTCACAGCTCAATCTAATACTGCCTTCAACAGCAAAACCACGGAAAGAAACAGCATTCAGATTTTAATAAAACCATCTCCTGGAATTAGAATTTCCAGTTTTTCATGCACTCACTAAAGGGAAAACAGGACACTCATTGAAATAAGCCTCCATATACCTGGTCAAAACTATGGAGGTGGAAGGGGAATTTGGGATTTATGCTTGGCCCAACTCTATAGCACAGATCCTATACATTTCTATAGAACAGTCTAGTCACCCTCAGTTGAGAAAAATACAGTTCCAAGTAACCTCTATCTTGATGTTGTTCTAAAACCAAAGTTATAGCTACTTGTTTTTTGAGTATTGCTATCTTGACCAGGCTGGTTTCCAACTTCTGGGCTCAAGTGATCCTTCAGCCTCAGCCTTCCAAGTAGCTGAGACTACAGGTGCATGCCATTGCACCCACATTACTGCTTGCTACCTGCTTTAAAGGCCCTTTCAAGAAGAGGAATAAATTAAAATTTGAGCCCCCAATGGGATAAGAATAACAAGGTAAGATGGACTAAAAAAGCAGGGTGAAATTGTTCTTAATGTACAAATTTGCCCCAGAGCTGCTCTCCTGGCCTCCTGACTTGGGCAGTCACATGCAGGTTCCTACCTGGCCCAGGCCACTCTGCAATTGCTTGGAGCATTGCCAGAGCACGAGTCCAGGGGTTGGTTCACTTCTTTTGGGAAGGCACTAGGTGAATCACCCAGTTCCAGAAAAGGAACAAGGAGTTATTTGCCCCTTACCTTCCCACCCCTTACCTGACTGGTGGGTCCACCTAAAGGACCTGTCCCTACACAGCTCCCCACCTTCTTACAAGTGTCTTTAATTGTGACTGACTTAACACAGTTTTAAAATGGACTCAAAGGGCACATGGAGGCATGGCTGTCCTACACATCTCAAGATAGTCTCAGGTCCTAAAGTCCAGCTCTGAGGAATCTGGAAAAAGCTCACTGGGCAGGCTTATTCCCCACCTCCATAAGGGGCGACGGAGGGACTGATGCAAGCATCCTAAAAGGACATATTTCTCAACTGCACACCACCTCCTCTGAGAGTAAGTGTCCTATGAGTTTTCCTTCCAGTTGGAGAACTTCTCCTGGAAGCAAAAGCTCTTGAAGTGTTAAAAAAAAAAAAAAAAAAAGAAAAAAGAAAAGGAAAGAAAAGCAACCAAAGTCCTGACTTATGTTTAGCCTCCGCTCGCCCCTGTCCCAGGAACTGTATTAGGTGCGAGTTCTAGGTAATCGCCCCGACTTCACCCCAGTACTTTCTTTGCAAAGAGAATGCGAGGAGGTAAAGGTCAGTTTCTTCCCGTGGAGGCTTCCTGCTTAACAAACTAAAGTGAGTTTGCTTTCTAAAAAAAGGTTTTGGTTAATTTAAAACTTTTGGTGGTGGCAGATAAAGTAGCCAGAAGACTGTGGGGGGAATTAGCCCCTATTAATATCGGCAACAGACGCCACCATAGGTTGGCCTGGTCCCGCTTTTTTCCTCTGATACGCGCACCACGCGCCAAACTCGATTTCTAGGTCGGGGGTTGTGCCACCTCGTCCCTTTCCCCAGCCGCCACTGCAAACCCAGCCCAGGCAGCCCCATTCAACTTCCAGAGTTCAGCCCATGATACTCCTGCCCAGAAATGTACTCTCGCCACTTGCCTCCAGCCCCCAGGCAGCAGTCACGACTCGCTCCTACGAACTCCTCGCCAGACCCTAGGGGTCCCCAGACCTCGGCGGTTGGGCATCCGGGCTTAGTTTCCCCGGCCTTCCCCAAGTCCCTCTCGGCTTTGAGTCTCCTGGCCTAGACCACCCCGGGGCATCACAAGTCGGCGCCCGGCGTACAGCTGTGAGCGGGGTACGCTGGTCCGCGGCCTCACCTGCGTCCGGAGAGAGCGTGCGGCGGGGCCCGGCGGGCGGCGAGGGGTCTCTGGCAGCTACTGGGGCGCTCCCTCGGATCTGGGGCTAGTCCTGGGCGGGGGCCGGCTCCGCGCTCGCTCGTAGCAGGCCGGAGCGCAGCCGACTGGCTCCGAGTCGGGACAGCGGAGCGCGCTGGGCGCTGCGGGTCTTCAACACCTGTCTGCTGCAGCGCCGCCTTTTAACCGCACCCCACACCCCGCCTCTTCCCTGGAGCTACCGAGAAAGTTACGGAGGGGGCGGCTCCTTGCCGCCCGCACCGCCCCCCCCCCCCCAGCGCCTCGGGCGGGGCACTCCGGGCCTCCCCGGCTCCTGAAGCTTCTTGGGGCCCCCGAACCCCAAGAGGTCACCAAAGCCTCTAAGCCTCCGGAGTTCCCTTGTGTCCCTCTGGAGCTTTCCTAGAGTCCAGGGCTCCACGAATACCCTATTTCCCCCCCCTTCAGCCCCTGGGCAGGCCAGGCGGAGCCAGCTAAGGCTTTGCGTCTCCACCTAGGAGGACGCAAAGCCCCAGGCCCCAGCTCCCTGCATTTGAAGGAGTAGGTGGGTTTGAAGAGTAGTTGTTGATGTTATTTCTACTCCTACTAGTTCAAGACTACTATTGCATTTGAAGTTCTGTTTATTATTATTTAAGCACGCGTTCCAACGATGTGAAAATGTATTTGCAAGTCTTGAGATTCCAATGCATGAGAGGCTGTCACTTAGGGGAACCACAGAGCAGGGCTCAGGGCCTCTGGAAATTGGGTTCAGGGCCAGCGAAGATGGGGCGCCATCAGTGTTGGCTAAATCCCCACTTGTATTTCTCTGAGTTACCTATTTAATTCGATCACTTTGAAGGGTATGCCAAGAGCCAAGAATGGGTGTGTGTGGAGGTGACAAGTCTTGCTTCTTTTTGCCAAAGCTGGCCACAGGGTCTCTGCCTGCCTAGAGGGAGTCGTCCGGCCATCTGCAGAGGGTGCTCTGGCTCGGACCCTGACAGCTTCATCCTCTTTCCACAATTGGGAAATTGCAAGGAGGTTACTTTTTTTTTTTTTTTTGCGGGGGGTGGAGGGGTAGTTGCCCAGATTATTCAGAAAAGAAAGAGCACAGAATGAAGTCTACCAATCCCATCCCTCCCTCCCAGTACACATACTGCTAGAAGGGGTACTGATAGGATTTCTGGAGAAGCTTCTGGGAAACATGTCCCGCACACTTTAGTTCTTTCTCTGCGAAGCTTGATGCCTCAGTGTGAGGACTTAGTGTTGGGTATTTGGTTGGGCATTTTGATGTCTTGAGATGCTAGTGACAGGAAGTCAGATGAGAAATTAATGTGAGGAGTAGGCCACGTTTGTCCAGTCTCCTCCCACTCCTTGCTTCATGATTCCTGCAGAGCAGCCAGTTCTTAGAGGAGCAGGCTGCACATTCTCACGCAGGGTTTTCTCAGGTCAGTTCTACCTGAAGTGAGGATGATTCATCCTGACAAGGCAGAAATGGATTTCCCATGATTACCATAGTTTGCGTGAAGGTATTGACTTTTCCTTGCAAAGCTGGAGCCCCGTAGGCCATAAGCCGACATCTGCCGTTCTTGCATGGGTGAACGTGAGTACCGTGGTTACCGTGGCTACTACCTCACCTTCTAGTTCTAAGTCTTAGTCTAAGAGGGAGTGTCTGTTCATGAAGAGACAAAGCCCCAGGAGCTGCCCAAAGCCCTGCCACTGGAGAGATGTGCTGAATCAGCTTGTGAGAAATTAGGCCAGTCCTGTGGAGGCAACTTCCTGGCCTGAACACACCTTAGGGTTGAGAGGTCTTGGGGTGGAGTAGCTGGCCGGTGAGCTCTCCCTTTAGTCTCTTAGGGTCAGTGTTGTTAGGAATCTATTGAAGTCCTGGCTGGGTTAGAATGAAAAAAGCCAGTGTAGGACGCTGGCTGGTAAAGATGGTTTGGAGATTGCAAATTGATTTTCCCTCAATGAAAAATTTCATCTTAGGCTTTAGTGCCCATATCACAATGACAAGTTCAGTTTTCTTTCCCTTGTAGTCCTTTATTTGATTCTCTAAATTTGAATAATGATTGTGTATTGTTGGCTAACTATCACTTCATATTTTGGAATTTATAGTCAAAACTCCTACGGCTCTGAAGTCTTCAGTTACAATTCAACACTTGATTTTATTCTGTTTTCCATGATTTTTGTTGTTTTTCTTTGTATTGGTGTTTTCTTCCTAAGCAGCTTTGGAGTTCTCCGAGGGCAGGAAATTTTGTGTATGTGTGTGTCTTCCAGAGTAGGGGAGAAAAAAAGAGAAGAGGTAAGATGAAAAATAGTAGGGAAAGGTTTGGATATTTGAGATCATCTCCAAATGAACTTAGATATATACCCAATTAGCAGATCGCACCACAAATTAATATTTTAAAAAATAAATCCTGTAGTCATTTTGTAAATAGGACTGTCATACTGCTGCATTTTTTTCTATTAAAAGTATTACGTTGGTAAATGTAAGCATTGGAAATAAACCATAATTTTCTCATTCCTGTTTTCATCTTTTGACACTTTAGTCCTAGAGAAGCTCAGCACCAGTCAGCCCTTCTCCTCTACCCCAATCCTTCCTACTCCTTCGTGAGATCAGTAGAGCTCTGGACATACCTGCTGCTGACCAACTCAACTTTAACTCATTAATTGGTAGGGATTAACCAGACACAGAATAGTTTTGGGCTTGGCTTTAAGCAAAGAACTCTGGTATCTCCCAGTTTGATTTTGAATGAAACTAATAGGATGGACAATGGCCAGGGAAGAACAGGGACCTGTGGAGTAACTATTGATGATTAACCAGTGAGGATCTGTGACAGCCACACCTTGTCACATCAAAGAGAAATGAATGCTAATTTTACATATGTTAGTACCAAGTAGGTAAATCCGGGTCCATTATGATTGAACTGAACTTTTATGCAGATGTTGCAAATGATGCACTTGTAAGATTATAAGGTGAAAAGTCTAACATTTAAAGCTATTTGTATTTTAATTTGACAGTTGTTTTAAAATAAATCCAGTAGAAAGAACTGATTGTTGTGCAAGAAATCAGTGCTAGATAAATCATATTTCTTGACATTTTGATGAATGATTATTTGCCTGCTGCCTGTTGGTGCAACCTTCTGAATTCCCCCTGGGAAGGATGCTCTGAGTGCACATTAAAAATATATCAGTTACATTTCTGACTCACAAATCATCTGATGGCAGAAAATGTTGCAATATGAGAAGAGACTTAATAGCATGGAGCCCCTGCCTACTAGTTGGCAGTTTTAGGGCAAGTTGAATCCATTAGCTATAGGGCCACACCCTCTTTTCTTGACTTTAATGATGAAATATTAATCATATTAATAACTGGTTAAAAAAAGAGAAAATTCAGCCTTTCCCAAAATAGCAGTTGGAAACCGAAGAGCCCTCTGGCATCCCTGGATAATTAATAACAACTTACATATGATAATGTAATTTCAATGCAGGAGTGGTTCTCCTGTGAACCTTTTTAATCTTTGTAGGTGATTATTATAGGGAACACTGTTTCACTAATAATTTCTCTCTGCATCATTGAATCACACCCTCACTATGTTTTCTGAAAATTGTTAATGTCAGATTATTTAGGGGGAAAATTCAATTGTTACATTCAAAGGGTAAAAAAAGAATAAGATTTCAGACTTCACTAATTTAATTGTTCTCTTTACTTTCAAATTAAAGACGTCTCATTTAAAATTGTTACTTTTAAGTTGTGACAAATAGTCATAAGCATTTTGTTGCTTTTTCATTCTATTCTTATTTCACACATAAAATATTCTGGGTAAATTAAAATTGCTGCATTAGCCTTGCTGGATGAACGTGGGCTCTTTTATGATTATTTAAGCAGACCATGGAGAAATTACAGAGATATTTCCAAATGTATTTGCATCAAAAACACATTTTGGTCAGAAATGAATGCAGAACTATAACTCCTTAGGTTGACTGCTAGGAAAAATATACTTCTATAGAATATAAAAATTAAACTTTGTAAGTTATACAGTGGCTTGTCACCACAGAAATATTGCATCATTCACAGAGGAGAAAAGGAGATTTCTATATTCTAATTTATGTCACAGCAATATTGTAATTTATATTATTTTGAATAGTTTTTGGAACAAGGTAGAGAAAACAATATATACTGCTATAGAAAAACAGTCATACGTTTGACAAGGGACTATTGGTTACAGGTTATGTTATATTTTATAGATTACAGCAGCTTTGCATGAAATGCTAGTTTCAGAGCCATTTCCACTTTGGTAGAAGTGTTCTCTGATTTAATCTCAATTCTTTAAAAGTCTGTGCCAAGACTGGGGTGGTGGTGGGGATGGGTAGGGAGGTGGGAGAGGGTGGGGAGGGTTTGCAATACCTGGAGCTCACAGTAGATGGCACTGGGAAGACTTGCCAGGAACCTCTGTTTGGTGCTTACACTTCATGGATAATCGTTTAGACTATAGAGTTTCTGGTTTTGACCTCATTAATGGGCTGTATAATAATTTTTTCTTCTTTGAAAAAATGAAGTAAAATAGAATAGAAAATAAAGTACCAGAATGTGTTGCTACATCTGCGTCCTTCCCACACAATTATTGGGAATTGAACACCAGTGGTGCTCTACCACGGAGCAACATTCTCAGCCCTTTTATTTTATTTTTTAAAATTAAGACAAAGTGTTGCTAGCTGCCCTGGCTAGCAGTGAACTTGCAATCCTCCTGTCTCAGCCTCTGGAGTAGCTTGGATTATAGGTGACCACTACCACACCAGGTAGAGTATGTTGCTGTAAGCAAGGGTAAGTAATGCTTTGTATAAGAAGTTTGTTAGCTATATGTGTCCTGGATCCAGTGTAAAATGCATTTCCTGCTGTAGGTTGCTGTTAGGAAAACTCTTGGAAAGCCTCTGTTCTATTCCATTTTCAGGGCAGATATATTACTTTGGGCTGCAGGTGAAATTATGTTATTAGGAAGGGGAGAGGCATGGGAGCCCCAAGAGT